AACCAGATTCTCAAATAAGTACTTTGTATAAATTAATAAGTTAGAGACAGTTGAACGCTTCTTAGTAAAACCGTGCTGCTGCGGAATAATTACATTGTGAAGACTAGGATATATCGCATTATGTATTAACCTTTCAAAAGTTTTAGCGAGTGTTGATAAGATCGATACCGGTCTGTAATTCTCAACATCTTTTTTTGAGCCTGCCTTGTAAATTGGAACAACTCGAGCTGTTTTCCAAATAGATAGGCATATCCCTTCTTTTAAGCATTTATTAAAAAGGTAATGAATTGGTTTTGCAACAGTATGTGCTGTAGCTTTTAAAAAATAAGGAGGGATGTTGTCAATGCCCGCTCCTTTGTTCGCATCTAAATTTAAAAGGGATTTAGTTACATCTTTTTCAAAAATAGAAATGTCAGTAATAATGAAATCAGAATTGTTATTATTATTTTTTTTTGGAGTTTATGGCCTGGTATCTAGACCTTTAGGCCAAGTCTTAAGTATTTTTATTCGGTTTATTGTAATTTCCCCACTCCTTCATAGTATACTGCTTCACAATATGTTGATGCGTCACATTGTGCAGTTCTTGGGAGATTTTGGCGGCAACTTGATCCAGCAGACAGCTGATAGTTGGCGATGGTATCTAAAGGTGCCTATGCAAACAAACAGCTTATCTTGAGAATCCATCACCATCAGAGCACTTGTTTCACTGTTTCCACTAATAGTTCACATGCGTAGACACTTAATACACAAAATCGCAACACTTTTACATATCAAAGTCCACTTCAAACCATTATTTAAACAATAATACAGGAGCAGCAAACCGCCGCCGGTCAATTTCCCGCCAAAACTCCAGAATTGTTATTATTTGGTATATTAATGTTGTCATAATTAAAATCTTCTGTGACTAAAGTGGATTCAAATACTGATAAGAAACAATCAGAGAATAAATTACATACTTCCTTGGTGTTACTAGCACATTTATCTTTATAAAAAATTTCTGAAGGTGTTTCTAGGCTGCTTTTGCAATTTGATACATATTTCCAGAACCATTTGATATTTTGCTTTACACACTTTTCGACAGTATCCATATAATAAGTATAACGTAACTTAGATTCACTTTTAAACCATTTTCTGTACAATGAAAATGTTCTATAATCTGATAAGTTTCCGTACTTTTTCCATTTAACCCAAGCATTATTTTTATTTTTGAAGATATGTATCAATGATGAATCGAACCACTTAGGAAAATTACTGTTTTTAACAGTTTTCTTTGCTATATATTTGCGTATAATACCATATATTTCGTCATAAAATAAGTCTACAGCTGCTTCAGCAGAAACGTCATCTGCCATCAAAGCTTTCCAATCAGTATTTAATATTACTTTATTAATCAACACGTAGTCCGCACTTTCAAAAGAGTAACGTGTGTGTTTAGTCGGTATGCATCGGATCTTCTCGGCAAATGGTACTATTACATAAAATAGAGGATGGTGTTTATCAGGACTTACTAAAGGAATAGAGACTGGACATAATATATAGTCATTTATGTTAGTAATAAATAGATCTAGAATAACATTATTTGAATTTCTAAATGTATTAATTTGTGTAAAGTTATAAAGTGATATAAAATTTATTAAGCTATTGCGTGAAACCGATATATCGGAAAAACAATTAGTTTCAAAATTAAGATCCATATCATTCCAATCTATAGATGGCAAATTATAGTCTCCTACTAAATAAAAATTATGACATAATTGGTATTGATTAACTATATCATAGTTTGTTATTATCTTCAGATGTTTTTTTTTAATTATTGTTAGTAATAATAAATAAGTACTGTTTTTATCGGATTTATATAAATGTTTACCCACTTTCGTACTTATCAGACTATATTTCCTATTTAGCAGGCCTACAGTGCACGTTGGAAATTAAAATAAACGTAAATGTAATAAATAAATATTGTATCTATTAATACCATACCACAATAAAAAAAGACATGTGTGCAGCTCACACGCGGTAGAAGTGAAACCTTCAGAAAACTAAACTTCGAGAGAATGAGATGAATGTGGAGTACCAGTAGGGTTTATGTAATATAATAAATAAAAATTAATTTTTGTTTGTTCGTATTTTGTGCGTTGCCATACCGCTCATCAGATTGCGCTAAAACATTGTCAACTTATTGCTTGCACTTGCGCGAAGGTTATAGGCATAGTACAATTAACTTACACTAGGTGGCGTGTGTATCGTACCGACAAATTTATTTGAAAGTTAAATATTATATCATTCCACTGCAATAAATGTAATATCATTTCTAATTAAACAAATATAACTCCTGCAAATTTAAAAATAAATTTCTACAACTATTTCTTCGACAGCAGCAACGCGTCGGGTAACAGCTAGTTAAAATATAAATAAATTTATAATAAGCACTTTATAGTGTATTCTATCTCATTCTCTCGCCGGCTAAATTATATAGATTTATATCTTTGTTTCTTTTTAATGTCGCTTTTCTTTTCATTGAATTTCAAATCACAATTATTATAAAGTGAGTTTTACTTCAAAAACTAAAACTATAAACTTAAATTATCGTACAGTCTGCGTTTCCTCGTTAAATGGCTATAATTAGCCTTTGAGCGAGAAAAGAATCAGCTCTCTTATCACCGGCAGCGACGAACAGTCGCAGATTCCGTTTTTATTAATTTTCGTTAAGAAAATTATTAGAAACCCATATTTTAATTTTTCGATCATTAAATTAAGAAAAACGAATAAATTAAAAATACATTTTCGTTAAGAAATAATTTTCTTGACGAAAATTTATTGTTAATTTATTCTTAATTAATTTAATTTATTGTATTATTAATAGAAATCAAAATTTTAATTTTTCAAACACTAAATTAAGAAGAAGTAATAAAACATTTTGCACGCCAAATAAAAACAAGCTCTTCCGCAAGTAACATAATGTAACTCTCCATAATATAACACGAAAGCGGAAAATAAGGGATTCGACACGGAAAGCCGTTTTCAATTCAAATAAATCTTAACCCAATGGTAATAAATCTCGCAACTTCACTGTTTTAAATTTAGGATTGGATTGTCGTTTCTTTGGATTGACATTTCATTACAACTGTCTATTTTATTTCGTACGGATTCTCGCAGTATTCGCTTCGTACTTTTTACCTTAGTTCTATTAAAATCAGATTTGAAAAAAGGTACAAAGTATTTCAAGACTAGCTGTTCCCCGCGACTTCGCCCGCGTGAAGTTTTTTTGCGCGGTTCCCTAAAATGAAAGTATCCTAAGTTACTTCTTATAACATCAGCTATCTGCCAGTGAAAGTCCCATCCAAATCGGTTCACAGGTTTTTGCGTGATGCGTTTTGAGTCAGACGTTTTGTTAGAGTTTTTTAATAGTATAGATTAGACATGGAATGAGTAGTGATTAGCCGAGTACTCGGCGTTAAAAAAAACGCGGTAGCGGACGGCGTGTGGTTATTTCTCTTACACAGAGTTCGAGATAGAACGATACGAGTAAATACAAGTAGTTACTCGATACTTTTCTTTCTATACCAAGTACTTTGGGTATCGATACTTTAAAACTTAGTACCAAGTAGTATCGAAAGAAAAGTACTTGTATCGGTACTCGATCAGTCATACACCCACGGATACTGTTGATGAGTGATTACTGATTACTTGTCAAATGAGACAACATGAGTTCATGTTCGAGAGATAGTTTTCGTTATCTGGCGCGACAATGACTGCTTATAGAAATCGTTTTATCGGAAAACATCTAGAAAAATAATTAATCTTCCTCTCTTAAATTTTAAATATTAGTAATAATAATTTCTATTATAGATTCATATGTACGTTCCAAATATTTCTGTTGCTTCTTATGTTCCTGATGTTTTAATGTGTCTAATATAATAATAATGATAAAAACTGGCTTTTTGTCTTTATTTTTCTCTGGAATATAATTAAGGCCGAGTACTCGGTACTCGGCCGTTAATACTCGGTGCTCGGCCGAACCCTAAAAAAAGGCCGAATCCGCCGAGTATCGAATCCAAACCGAGTACTCGTTCCATGTCTAGTACAGATAGATGTTAATATGGTATAAAAGAAGTGATATTGTTTTTTACTTTGTGTTGTCAAAACTAAAATGTGTTGAAACATAACTATGTATACTGAACGCAATGATTTATTGTTTAAAAAAAATCATTACATAATCTAATTAAATGCAATTTAATCTTTAATATATATAATATTAAAACACTGTAATAAAAAACTAAAACTAATAACTTAATTATCATTCAGTCTCATGGTATCATGCCAAAAACGCTGGCAGTGTTTCCTTGATCAATTGCCCCTACGTAGTTTCCTCTAGTTTTCTCAGTAATTTTCACCGTTAAATAACTTTTTTTAAAAATTAAATTTTCATATACATAATTCGTTTTCTTACTGCACTTAGTGCGGTTACACCTAGTTCTAGCCGGCTGGAACTAGGTGCGGCCTGCAGTATATTACGGTTAATAGCCTTAGTCCGAATACACCTAGGTGTGGTCGGCTAATACAAGGTGTAGTCGATTGCGGTTGATGTATCATACATAATTTATAAATTAGATAAATGTGTGCGGTTTTAAGGTCACCCAAGGGCCACCTTATCTACCTTAGCTATCTTAACCTACTGTCGCTGATATTACTTGATACGTTTTTCCGTATTTTTACAAATTTAATAGTACACCTAAATTTAACCAATTACTGCTGGCCACACCTAGCTCTAGCTGGCTAGAACTAGGTATAACCGCAATTTGACTTTTAGCTATATATATAGCAATGCGGACGTAGTCGCTGGTATCAGCTAGCCACGAATATGTTGCTGCCCAACTCCTGATTCACATCACCATGTACTTTCGGTGTAAAAGAATCCACAACCCCATATTATCATCCATAGGTATGTTAGGTAGGTAGACAGAGGGAAAATAAGGCAATAAATAAATAAAAATACTTACCGCTTAAAAGTCCCATATTGCAGAGAGCATACACTATTGGTTCACCCTTTGCGGCAAACAGCACAACTTCCTTAGGCCCCCAGCAGGCTGTCACCACTCGACAACCTCTAGCACACCATCTTTCTGGTGACCAATTTTGTGTATCCCATACTCTATAAACAAAAATTTAAAAGGTTATATCCTATTTGGTTTATGCTTGTTACTAATTCGCCGTCCCCGACGAACAAAATCGTAATACAATAATGTCAATTTTACAGGAGCAAATAAAAACTGAATATCATAAGAACTATCAAACCTAGAAAGAACATTCTTTTACCAAAAATAGGAAATAAAATTTTGGCACTACAATTCTACTAAATTTTTCTTAAAAGTTTTCTTTATAAATAAGAAAATCTTGAAAATGTCCATTACTGAAATAAATTATGGAGGATGTTACCGCTAACTAACTTTACGATAGTGTTCGACGGAAATCACAAAATAATGTGGCTATAGCAATTGTGCATTACGATATTGTTCCATGGTAAATATGCATGTACTTTCTGTTCGTATAATGTCTTTGCAATTGTATTCGATGATGTAACTGACCTCAATATTACGGTAAACATACATTACATGGTTTTTTGATTATCGTTTTTAGGAGTTAATATTTAATTTAATACCGTCATAATCTTTTATCTATTACTATAATAAATTAGTGGAACCAGGTTTGTCTGTACACTAAGAATAATGAACTAAAATGATAGGGAACGACAAAATAAAGGTAATATAAGAGAAAAATGCGCTTTTTGTTTCCTGTCTCTCTGTTTGTTCCAGCACATCTCTGAAACTACTGAACGGATTTTAATGCGGTTTTCACAGCTGGTAGATAGATGTTAGTCATATTAAAAACATAGGCTACTTTTTATCCGCCCACACGGACGAAGTCGCGGGCAGCCGCTAGTTTCAGAATGAAATATTGTGTAAATATGTGTAAAGAAAGGTTTTTATTACTACCATAATAATTGTCATTACTTATTTTGGATTTTGTTGGATGTACCTATTTATTTTATACGGTTATAATTTGGATCACCGTAAATTGTACCAAATTGTCAGTTTATAATCTAGCGAGTTTGGAAGTGGCCAAGGCGAATGACATTAATCTAACGGCACAAGTAACAGTACTACAAATTATAATCTTTTAAATTTGAATTGAATTTATTTTGTTTTATTAAAACAGTAAATAAGTAACAGTTTCATTATTAATACATCCAAAAACCAAAATAAGTTATCGATGGGAAATAAAATCTAAAAAATATCCATTAAGTATTTTTTATTATAGCTGAAAATTTCGGGAATCAAGGAAGTGACACAACATTACTATTTAAAAATGTATTTATTGCTTTTCGAAGTATTCTCCGCGAAATTTGACACATTTTTCCATACGATGGAACCAATCATTGAAGCAACCATTCCGTTCGGAAGTTGGGGTCTCCAAAATGGCCGTTTTGTAGGCGTCCACAGCTTCTTCAGGTGATGAAAATCTCTGTCCACGCAATTTATTCTTTATTTTAGGGAAATTATAGAAATCATTAGGGCTTAGGTCGGGGCTGTACGGCGGATGGTCTAATAATTCTATGTTTTCTTGCTCTAAAAACTCTTTTGTTCTGTGTGCGGTGTGAGAACTCGCATTGTCGTGATGGACGATGATGCGGCGGTTGCAGTTCTCTTTACGGAGTTCAGAAACGACCTGTGGCAAACAAATGCTAGCATACCATTCTGCATTAACCGTTCCTTGTCCCTCAAGAGGAATAGTCGTAACATGGCCGGTTGTGGAGACAAACGTGGCCACCATTTTTTTTGCAACACTCCGTGAACGAACAATTTTTGTTGGCTTTAACTCATTTTCGAACATCCAAATTCGTGACTGGTTTTTTGTTTCGGGTTTGTACGCGTATATCCAGGATTCGTCACCTGATACGATGTTGTATACAGCATTTGAGGATCCTGCGTGGAATCTTTCGAGAGTTCTGACGCACCAAGCCAGAGCCACTTTTTGCTCTTCACAGAGCGAATGCGGTATCCATCGGGAAAACAACTTTTTTGCACCTAATTGTTCATGCAAGATTATTTGTATTTGACTCATGCCAATGTCTAAAGTTGCCTGAATTTCGCGGTATGTCACATGTCGATCTTCCTCAATCAGCTTACGCACAGCATCAACGTTTTCTTGGGTGACTGCAGTTTTTGGACGACCTTGACGGGGATAATCACTGAGCTTGACACGTCCACGTTGAAATTCAGCAAACCAGCGATAAACTGTGGTTTTGGATGGGGCTTTATCACCAAATGCAGAAATCATCCGGTCAACACACGTTTTTTGTGTTAAACCACTTCGAAAGTCATAATAAATCATCGCTCTTGAATTTTCTTGAGTCAATTCCATTTCCTCAACGATTAAACAAGTTTGACAAAACCTTGTGACAAGACCGAGAATCTTTTTTTAAATAAATAAATGGTATTCGATTTTTAAAACCAAGAAGTTTTCAATTAATAAGATTTTATTATAACAGGAACAGTGGAAATATTCCATTCCCGAAACTTTTAGTGCAGCCTATGTATCAAACGAATATTATTACATATTTAAAAACAAATATAAAAATGTTACAAGTAGGTAACACAACTTTAATCTAAATCTTCTTCTTGCTCCTCAGGTATGATGTAAGCACAATTTAAATTATTATAAAAACTGTGATAATATTTTGGGATGGCCTCACTATCACACAGAGACTTCAGGTCATCAAACAGGGCCTTGGTGACGGGTAACGGATGGCTGTAAATATTTTTAAGAGTTTGTACCTCGTCGGCGACGGATTTTCGCCCTCTTTTCGGTTTGGTCCATTTTGAATTTAACTCAAAGGGCTCATTTTCGAGTTCATACTTATACTGTAAAATAGTTTGTTTCAAATGAGAAACTCTCACCTCCATCAAATTCGACCACTTAATTTTTCGTCCTTCGGTGCCTTTCAACCAATTCTTTCCATTAATAATATCTTTTATATCGTAGAAATCCACCTCATTGATCCATTTCATTGATCTTATTATTTCGGATGCGAGATTTTCGCGTTTGAAATTACACCATAAGCTTGCTCTGGAGTATACAGTATTTTATTTTTCATAGGCCTCTCTATGCATGAATGCATATTATCACCTTCATTTTGGCTATGCTTCGTCTCAAAAAATCGGTGCGTTATAGTTTTCACTCCATAACCTTGTACGATATACAGGTATAGGGCGAATATAAACCGATTTTTGTTTTGGCCGGCGCAACCATCAGAGTAAATTAAAAATTTTCGATTCCTCTCAGTTGTTCTTCCTGGATGAATTTTAATAAACAACTAACAATTTCGGTAGTTGTTTATTAATGGCTCTTTCCAATAGACATATGCCACACAAAACAATGTCCGGCTTTGCGCATTAAATCAAACACAATAAAGTTATACTGCATATTTTCGTTTATAATAAAAAATGCCCACTTCGGACTGTGGCACACTCAAAACTTTTTCCAGATCAAACGCTCAATTTTTCTTCGTTTTTTATGTTACGAACAGTCTCCTTTTTGTTTAAGTTAAGTGAAAGCGTTGCGTCTTACAAACACAATTAGGATTCACGAACGAGGAATACAGCTAACACTGTCTACCAGGTCGGGTCAAAGGGAGAGCGTTGCATCTTGCGATAAATATGAAGGTGTGTGATCACCCGAACGATATTGTGTTGACGCTTACCGGGAACGGCTTTGTCATTTCTCACTCGAACAATATGGTAATAATGCTTACTGTAAAATTTTTACTCATAAGATTTGGTAATAAGTTTTTGCGTTATTAATCGACTCGATTGTTCTGTTATGTTATCCGTTGAACAGCAACATAAAGATCATTATTGAATGGATAAGTCGAAAAGTATTCGTCGCTCGGCCATAAAAATTTTTTCAATGATGTATTACGGTGTGTGAATTACGAATCTTCAATAAACCCGACTCTATGGTAATAGCGATAACGATAGTGTTCGTCGGAGACGGCGAATTAACATTAACTAAAATCCTTTTTTCTATCTAGAATAGGGTGACAAACAAGCACACAGTCCACCTGTATGATAAGTGGTTGCTGTGACCCATAGACATCCACATCTATCCTCAATAAAGAATAAAGAATCAAAATGCAGATGCGTTGTCACCTGTGAGGACTAAGATGGAATGCCTCTTTTGCAGTAAAAAAGGTCGCCGGTTTTCTACACTCACCATACGAAACACAGCAGTGTTAAGCTGCTATTTTACACTGGTATTCTGTGAAATTCTGTGGTATTAGGTATTCACATCTACATTGGCATTTGGATACATGGACATTTTGTTAGTGCCCTCAATGGAGCAGAAATGCACTCACTATTCTTCTTCATTAGCCAGTAAAAGTGCAATGCTGGACATAGGCCCCTCCATTGTATGGGGGGATACAATGGAGAGGCCCATGTAGGGGGGATTTGCCTAACCACCACACTTAGCAGCCGCTTTGGCGATCGCCTTACCAGAGGTTTCAGATCTTTCAAGCGGCTCCCGCTCTACGGTCTGGATATTTTACTTATAGCATTAACAAAAAGGTTATCCTGCATCTGTCAGAAACAATGAAATCTTTTAATCATTTTCCATAGTCGATATATACGAGGTTTACTGTTCATTCTATCATTCATTACCGCCAATCTAAGTCCATTGCTGATCATGGGCCATGCCACAAATTGCCTCATATGCAGAATTTTTGCCATAGTTGCCACGCTTGGCAGATGGATTGGCAACCGCAGCTTTTTTTTTAGGATTAGGGTGACAAACGAGCACACAGTCCACCTGATTGGAAAGTGGTTGCTGCGCCCCATAGACATCCACATCTATGCTCTATTACAAATTAAAATGCAGATGCGTTGTCACCCGTGAGGACTAAGATGGAATGCCTCATTTCCAGTAAAAAGGATCTCCGGTTCTCTACACTCACCATACGAAACACAGCAGCGTTAAGCTGTTATTTTACGCTGGCATTCTGTGAGAGCGTGGTCCTTCCCCGGTCGAGCCGACCCATTCGTGCTACAACTATACTACTACTTGACTGCCTCGTTGGTCTAGTGGTTGTAGTAGTGCGACTGGTGATCATGAGGTCCCGGGTTCGAATCCCGGGTCGGGCCAAAAAAATCAGTTATTGAGTTTTTCCATCAAGAAATTCTCAGTAGCTGCCCGGAGTCAGGAATCCGGCGGTGTTTCACCCCCGTGCCTCGGAAAGCACGTAAAGCCGTTGGTCCTGCGCCTGATCTCTCTCCGGTCGTGTCGGTTTACCGTCCCATCGGACTATGAGAGTGAGGGAATAGAGAGTGCACCTGTGCTTGCGCATACAGTTGGGCACTATAATCCTGTCCTGCGCAGATGGCTAGTCTCCTTGAGACTGGCCGCCGTGACCGAAATTCGGTCTGGAGGACATTATACTACTAATATAGTGCAACTATTGGCACTAACATGGCTCTACCACATATAAAATTTTATCTTCTATATGTTATTAAGAAGACGCTGCTGCCAATCTCCTGTTTTGATTCCTTCAGTTGCCTCTTACAACACCCACGTGACAATATGCTATAGTGGATATTCTGACCACCCATGAGGTTATTATTTTTTAAACAGACTAAAACTCTACAGATTTTAAATATATATAAATGCATCTCTGTTACAGACATTAGGAATTTTATAAGATTATATCAACACATAGTCAGAAAATGCAGATTTATATTATTTTTCTAGAAACAAGTTTTAAAAGTAAGTATTATTATGTTGGTTAACCTGAAAATAATAGAAGAGGTGGCGGCGAAAATTCTGCTTGCATCAAGTGACCATCTTGCAAATACTATACCACCACCTGCCACCCTGCGAAGTGGCACTGCGGTTTCCATCGCAACATCCCACACTAGCATTGAAGTGTCAGCACCGCAGCAACTGACTAGCAAGTCGCCATTTGGAGACCAACTAACATCCGTCACTGGACTGTGGCCTGATCTGAAATTATGCAAATTAATTTTAAAGTAAAACATTTGTTTTTAAATTTTACAGACTAGAAAGCAAAAACGATATGAGGACATTTAAGAGCATCTTTGAAAAGCTGCATTACAAAAAATGCTAGCAATTAGCTGTTAGCGGCTAGCAGTTAGCGGCGCACATTTCCTTGCCCTAAAACCCTCTCAGAAATGAGAATGCCTGTGCCCAGCAGTGGGACGTAAATAGGCTGCAACTTTACTTTTTTTTTACTTTTAATTAGCTGTTGAATAAAATTCATTTATAAACACAACATACAACAACACAAGTCTTCAAAATGTGAAGATATATTGATTTTAGGAGGTCCTAAAATTGTAGTCTTAATTTCTTGCAAATGAGATTTCAAAAATAACATAAAAAGAGTGAATTTCATTGCCGTTTGTACTGCAGTCCTAGAAACTTAAGTTAACAAATAGGGAGGAGGAAAAGATTTATATCAATAGCAATGAAACAGTTTGAGAATATATATATAAGAGGAATTTTAATTTAGAATGTTAAATAATAAAGATATTTTATTTTATTTCCTCAGTCCGGAATTTTACACTTCATGTTTTTACTAGTGATCATAAGATTTTTCTGCTCTTCTTTCCATCTTCCTCATCAGCCCTTAGTCAGATTGACAATTATAGTACTAGATGTCTTACATTTCTGACATGAATTTATAGAATGATAGAACTATTATGGTATACCTTTTTACAACAAAATCCCAGTACATATTCAAAGTTTGTCAATAAACAAGTTTAAAAGTTTCATTAAAAAGGGTTATTATAATATCAAGGAATACATGAATGAAAGTAACCCCTGGGAATAAGGTGACCGCCGCTATGCTGGTTCTATGAAAAATCATTTAAAAATTGTATTAACGAAATTATTGTTAAGTGAATTTGTTTGAAAAAAAAAGTCCCAGTGGGTTTCTTGCTGGTTCTTCCCAGGACAGAGGTATTTTCCAAACCAGTGGTAAATAAAAAATGACTTTCAATAAGTATTATGTAATAATCAATATTAAATAACAACTTATTCTATTTTATTCTAATAGTGAATTTATAATTGATAGATGTAGATGTCTATGGGCCACAGCAACCATTTACCATCAGGTGGACTGTGTGCTCGTTTGTCGCCCTAATTCTATAAAAAGAAGGAATATAGAACGGAGACTGAATACAAGACACAGAGTAAATATGGCTCTTCACTATTTTGTGGGAAGTCAAAATGATTTTTTTTAATAAGGGTACAAAGAAGCACACAGTCCACCTGATGGTAAGAGGATGCTGTTGCCTAAAGACATCTACATTTATCCTCGATTAAGAATCAAAATACGGATACGTTGTCACCCCTGAGGACTAAGATGGAATTCCTTGTTTTCAGTAAAAAGGGTCTCCAGTTCTCTACACTCACCATACGATACACAGCAGCATTAAGCTGTTATTTTACGGTGGTATTCTGTGAGAGCGTGGTCCTTCCCTGGTCGAGCCAATCCATACGTACTACAACCATAATATAGCAGCAGCATAGCTCTACCACATACAAAAATTTGTTGATACAGGTACAAACGGCAATAATTCACATTCGTAGTGATAGTTGGATGTGGCAACATATGAGTAAAATTGATGCTGTAGAAATATGGTCAATAAGAAGTATATTAGAGGTTTTTTTTTTTTATTTATTCATAGAAAGAGTGTTACATTATTTACATTTCAAACTTTGCCAAACTGTATGCCAGTTTGTCGGCAACGCAACAGTGACTACCCAAGTAGCACACCAGCAATATAAGCAGACACAGTATCGCTCTCTTGCTTTATAACAGCTTTTTAAGGATGATTGTATCTTTCTTAACCTGTATAGAAAAGATTCTTATATTTCTTTAAATGCACAGTGATAAAGTAGTCGTTTAATAGTGACTATGATTGCTTTGGAGATAAAAAGAGGTTTGTATACAATTTGTACAGGCGTTGGATATAAAGCCGAATTATAAGTATACTTATTAACACTATGAGACCTAAAAGAGGAATATCTAAGACCAAAGCGCTTCAATTGAGTTATGAATATTGTATATAACACTCAAGATAATACTAAGTAGTACTAATATAGTCTACAGTTTTACAATAGATCTATGAGAATCTTAAAAACCACTTTTACCATATTGGACAATTATAGCACAACAGAAGCACCAAAAGCGGTATATTTGTTAAATATAACGCGAAAATATAGCCACTGTATGCATTAGGCATGCTAAAGATGTTTTATCAGGCTATAAGCTTTTAATCTATTATGTATTACCATTAGCAGAGTAAAGTCCGTACAAGACCTTTAATAATTTCACTAATTATTAATTATTATGTTTTGCATGTTTAACAGAAAATTAATTAAAATTACAAACAAATAATAACTTGTTTCGTTACTAAAAACCGTCGGAACTTCTTCGCCGCCTAGATAGACTATGGAAAGGCATTCGACTTGCTGCCCCATACATGGCTAAAGAGGGTCTTCAAGCTGTACAAGGTTGACTGTACAGTAAGAGACTTCCTCGGGCAGTGTATAGGGCAGTGGAGTATGATCCTTTGTCATCTGGGCGAGCGGATGACGGCTGCGGAGAACCGCATAAGAATAAGAAAGGGTATCTTCCAGGGCGATTGTCTGAGTCCGATCTGGTTCTGCCTCTCTCTGAACCCTCTTAGTACCTTACTGAAGGGCTACATGAGAGGATTTCAGCTCCAGAAAGGAGGGACATAAGTGACCAAACTTTTCTATATGGATGATCTCAAGTTATTCGACTCCAGTCACTCCTATTATATGGAATTACGGAACAACACTTGTGAATTCAACAATTCAATCAGAATAGAGCTGGGAAAGGATAAGTGTGCGGTCCTCCATGTCAAAAGGGTAAGTGTTGCTAACTCTGAAAGCATAACTGATATCTGGGTATCCATAGAACATGGGTATCGATGAGGCAGACATGTAACAGTCGGTTTGCGATGTGTTTTATGCATGCTAGACAAAAGTGCTTAACAGTCTTCTGAAAACATCTCGGCACACAGGGATCATTCCCTGAAGTTGCATGCAACATCAAAGGACTGGTGAACTTCTACGGGGAGATCTCATAGCTATAATTAAATTATTCCTGCCCACACGCAAAATACGCGCATAGACGTGGAGTTGCGAAAAACAGCCCGTCGTAAACTAAACTAAACTAAACAGTCTTCTGTTGGGCGTTAATAAGACATGCATATAACGGTTGGGTCATGCCTGTTCTCATGTATATCTTTGCTATACTCAGGTGGACTCAGACCGAACTGAACGCTCTGAATAGAAAAGTCCGCACTGTTATGACGTTCCACAGCATCCATCATCCGCGATTGTCAGTAATGAGGCTGTACTTGCCGCGGAAACATGCTGGACACGGCTTTTTAAGCGCTCTCAACATGCATATGCGAAGTGTGCAGTCACCATAGTTACTTCCTGGCAAAATCGGATGATCCATTCTACAGGGACATCATTTCGTGTGATAAAGGGCTAACCCCTCTAACAGCCAACGAGCAATGGCAAGACCCAGCTGTACAGTGCATTTCCGAAGGAGGAAGGTTCAAGGCTCTTCATGAAAGCCAAAGCAGACAATAAAACAAATATCTGGACCTGGCTTACGAGGTGACCAACATGTGGGGTAGTCTGCCGATCAAAATTATTCCTGTAGTCATCACTGCAAATGGGTTAATCCCGGTTTCTGATTATGATTATGTGAGGCAACTGAGACTGAACAATCTGGACTCAAATGTTGAAGGCGGTGCTCCTCGATACCTCCTGCATTGTCCACCGGTTTATTTTCCCTTTCCCCCTAACCCTCGGCCATTTGGTATCCCCTGCCTAGGGCTTCCATCTGGTTGAGTTTTCATTTGTTTATGTATTTATTTTATTTTATTGATATTTATGTATATTTATCATTTTCACATTTGAAATTTTATGAAATTTTGAACAGAAATTATTATTGTGGTATAAAGGTAATAAATAAATCACATGAAATATAGCACAGCAATAATCATAGAATAGTTTTCTTTTTATAGCAAGTGAAAACTATCAGCAGTTTCTTAACTATCCATGACAGTATATTATTATTGAGTTTACAAGTATCACACATGATAGTTTATGTTTAATTCCAAGGGTTTATATTATAACATAATATACTTTGTTAAAGTATAATAAATGTCCACATACCTTTTCAATACAACAGCATTACTGGAAGATGGTTTTGTAAACATTGAGTTTGGATCAACTGTCCAAACAATCACACCTTGTTCACAACCAACAGCAAGCTCTGAAGCTGAATACGGTCTCCAACTCAATGATGACACATGACCTTGTGCCTTGCATTTTAATGTGGAAACAAAGGAAACTTCAGAGCAGTAAACCCTCACATTATCATCTGCAGTAGCTACAGCAATTTTTGTCGTGTGTGGATGCCATGCAATGCATTTAATGGGAGCAGTACTCCAGTTTCTTGTACGGGAGTATTTCGAGACGATTTTAGGCCCTATGTCTTTCAAATGCGGTTGGATAAAGTATCGAAATGATGTGACAAGATTTGCTATTTTCAAAACATATGATGCTGTAATTGCTAAAAAAGGACTATCGCGATTTATACTTGGATCTGCAGCTACACTTAACGCATCTAAAAATCCTTGCTTGTACCATACACTAGTGATTTTCTTTAATAACTTGTCCTCAACGTCTACATACAAGGAAACGTTTTCGTCAGAAATTTTGTGATGTTGTATATCCTTCGTGACATTAATTTTTGGGTGATTTTTTGTCTGTAAATGCAAATTATAAAATAAGTTTAATTTAGGTAAATACATTAATAGGTTGTAGCATATTTATCAAGTTAACCTTACCGCATTTGTGAATGTTGATATGTTTCCGTAGCGACTGTTAGCGCAACAGTATATTTCATTAACAACACACAAAGGTGTGTCCTCCGCCCCAGGTAATTCCGGGAATCCTTGAAATATTGACATTTATGTATTCTTTAATTTAAATTAAGACGTTCATAAAAATTATACTGCAAAATTGAGACAAAAGCCGGCACAACCGAAATGCGAGTCCGGTAGAGGTTAATTTTAAAATTTTGATTTGATATTGACATCTGACATATGATTTGTTAATAGATTTTATGATTCTATAATTATGGCAGACAAAAGTCTTAAGCCATACAGTCTAGCCAGATTTGTTATTTGTTAAAACTTCACAAAATGCTGATACATCACATTGCTTAGATCTTGCGAAATTTTAAAAACATCTTAACCCAGAGGATGACCATAATATCTGAAGGCTGTGAAGCACATAAAACAACCTGAGACTTATATATCTAAATTAAATATAACTAATCAAAGCATTTGTTACCTCGCTTCCACTCCGTCAAGTTCCTGACAAAAATTTTTGTATGCCTCATAACGCGAAGCGTTATAGGTGTGTTTTAATCTACATATCAAGGTCAAGCAATTTCGTGTTCTTATAATGCCTCTATCATAACCATATTGCATTTATACGATAATATAGTAACCGTATATCAAGAAAACACTAATTAATCCATCTTATATTATCTAAAGAATCATTTTATATTGGTACTTTGAAAAGAAAACAGTTTGAAAAAAAAATTTAAGTGGATGTCTAGATGTTGATTTTGTAAGGGGTCACGATAATTCCCGAAAAAATTGACGTATCAAGATCGAGTTTTTTTTGATTAACTTAAGAATTACGTCAACTGGTTTCCTTTTTCATATCAATAGTATGCGTAGTTTGTTATCAAAATGATTATCAACTTTTATAAATTGTATTACTATTAAAATTTTGAAGGCACTGTCATATTTCTATTTTAGCATTTGATAGACAAAGGACACCTGGAGAAGTCACGTCTAATGAAGTCAACGCTCCGTCCCCCTCGTGTTCTGGTATTCCATTCTACAATGCAGTGGGCGATTGTAGTGTTATGCTACTTACATATGTATATTTTACATTATTTTAAATTCATTTTTCCATTCTGTTTCGATTTTCTGCATTCACCTCAAAACTGGATATTTTACATCACCTTTATTTCCATAGGATCCTGTAACGATTTTAAACCATAAGAACACAATAACAAATCATTTCTACTTCGTATTTTCACATTATCAGCACTTTTAAATTGGTGTCAATGGAGTCTACCTTTTTTCGATCTTTTAGCTAGTTTTCCGTAACTCTACAATCTTGGACTTTGTGTGGGCAGTTGCGTTACCTTTTTTCCTATATCAATAATATCTCATTTTCCACTTAAATCTTATAGTTTTCTTATTATAAACCTAAAACAAAAATTTGACATGTTTTGTCTTTCTTATTTAAATCGTTTCCATGGTAATTATATTCAAATTTGCTACCGATCTATTATTCCTATTTCGATAATTCCACATAAATCCTCTTTTCTCTTGACCATTTACAAAAAATTTGCGTATAATTTAAATAATTTTTCCGTTCTCTCTAGAAAGGTATAAAAGCCGAACAATCGGTGAAGAAAGGCAGTCTCGCTTCAGTTCGCGAATTGGAAGTATCTCCTAAAGGCCTTATCCCGGGGCCGCACTGCCCCGGGATCCTGCAAGCCTCCATTTACACGTGAAGTCTTCGGCGAAGCCTTCTTCAAACTCGGGCCGCGCCACTCCGGAATCCTACAAGCCTCCATCTACCTCGGAAGTCGCTTCGAGTCTACTACAAGCGCGGGGGCCACACTACTCCGGGCACTTCTACTACTTACTCCAGGCGCCGAGTGCACCTACCGCCGGCGCTACCTTTGGGCGCTGCAACTGCTGGTTCTAAGCGTTGCGCGCCCCTTCTCCAGGCGCTACGTGCGCCGGCTCCGGACGCTGCGTGTACTGGCTCCAGGCGCTGCGCGCCGTCGCTGCTAAGAAACCTACTTCTACAAGCGCAAACGGCGTGTGCTGGCTTCAGGCGCTGCGTGCCGTCGCTGCTAAGAAACCTACTTCTACAAACGCAACGTGTGTCGCTTCGACTTTTAGGCCCCACTTCAACGCTATATTCCCCTATTCTCTCACCTTTATTTTTTTTTTAAACTAATTGTATTCTCACTTCATCCATCATCATCCTCACATCATTTTTTTATAAAATTGTAAATACCTTTTATAAATTTAAATATATTGTTTTCTGGCTCTACTTTTGTGGTTTTGTTGTTCTTAGGTTAGATTCTGTTTGATATATTATTGTCGCTTCACGACATTTGGCGCCCAACGTAAAAGTCCTCTTTCTCTCTTAATTCTTCACCTTTACTGCGCCTTGTCCATTCCCTTTTGATTTAATTGCTCTCCCTTTCGTTCTTAACTCATTATTCATCATTCATTTATTCATCCTTTTCATACCTTCCAAATTCTAAAACAACACTTCATCTAGTGTTTCAACTTATCTGGATTATATTTAGACCTACATTTCACACAACACTTACATTCATCACTTTAATATTTTTATTCTAGAACAAAACTTCATCCAGTTTTTCAACTTATCTAGATTATATTTAGACCTACATTTAACACCTTACTTACATCCATCACTTTAATATTTTTATTTTAGATAACTTAAAGAGGTATAATTTTTAATTAAATTTTTATTTCTTAAACTTAACTTTACACATAATTATAACAATGAAAAGGGTTATTAAGTACGAATTTCTTAACAAGGCCGAACTCGAATACGAAGTGAAGATTAGATGTGAGGAACCAGCTAATACTGTTTTACTTCTAAAAAAACAGGTTTTGCGTTTAGTTGCGAATTCTCACCCTGAAGATATTCTGACTTCTCCAATTCCGATTGAGGATGACTTGTCTCAAATTGATTCTACCTTGACCTACTTGGACTGTAAAATTAAAAAATTTTTACAAGGCGAAACCAAATACTTGCGACTAATAGAAACTTTTATTAATCATATCTTTTACAGATTGGAACGAATAGATACTGACTTATATCCAGACTTTAAAGCTATTTTCGATACTTTGAAGATGAAATATGACGATATTACTAAACAATTTGAATCCTTGACTCCAGCTCCTACTGAAAATGACCCTCCTGTTGACCCGACTGTCACGGTTGACCCGACTGTCACGGAACTCCCTCTTGTTTCTCAAAATTCTATTCAGGTCCATACCCCGTATCCTCCACCACCACCTCAATCTTTTTCTCCAACCAACGTCTTCAAAGATCTGAAAAGACACACCTTCAATGGTAAAAGCTGTCCAAGATCCTTTCTTCAAAAACTGGAAGAATACTGTATAGCTCGTGGCTTGTCCAAAGACTTGTTGATTTCACAAGCGTTTGAAATTTTCACTGACAATGCTCTTCATTGGTTCAGATTTAAATATAATCAGAATCCAAACTTAACGTGGAACGAACTTTCTTCGTTATTAATCAAAGACTTTGGTGGTTTTGATTATGATCACAAACTTTTAGAAGCGATTAGGAATCGAACTCAAGGTCGAGATGAACCTATTGTCATCTATATTTCCATCATGTCTGGAATGTTTTCTCGTCTTTCGAAGAAACTTTCTGAAACAGAACAATTGGAGATTATTTTAAGGAATATTCGCCCATGTTATTCAGTCTTCGTAGCTCTAAAAGACATTGACTCTATCGACTCTCTACTGGCTACTTGCCAAAACTATGAAAAATTCCTAGACAGAGACAAACAATTTAAAGAACCAAATGTACAACAAAGTCCTCTTATTTCTGAATTCAACTACAAGCATTCCACTTCAAGTTCAGTTGACTCTCCAAATTCTTCTAATAACTCACGACCCTCTCCTCCCCTCATGAATAAATTCACTCCATCCTACAAATACCCTTCTAGACAAGTTAATAGTCTCTCTCAAACTAAAGCTCCTCAACAAACCTCCTTTTGTGTTCGCTGTCGTAAACAAGGACATTCTTTGAACACTTGTACTCAACCACGATTCGTGATTTGTTTCAAATGTGGTCTTAAGGGTTTTAAAACTGCAGATTGCCCTACTTGTTCTCCCAAACCTAATACTAGTTCAAAAAACTAACTACTGACTTGAAAAGTAACTTAAACTTTGATAACGACGATTGGACTAATTGGATTAAAACAATTCAAAACTTCTTTTCTTGTTACAGAATCTCTACTCCAAGGAACAAGATCTTAATCGTCCATTCGTTAATGTCAAAATTTATAACTTAACTTTATCTGGTTTACTAGATTCTGGCAGTTCAGTAACTATTCTGGGTAATAATTCTCATTTGGAAATTCTTAAACTGGGCTGCAAACTTTTCAAGTCAGATCTTATTACTGTATCTACTGCTAATAATCAAAAAGTTAATTCCTTGGGTTATTTTGACTTACCTATTCATTTTAATAATCAAACTCATTTAATTAAAGCTTACGTTTTCCCTGAAATTTTTCCTTCGCTAATATTAGGTATTGACTTTTGGAGAAAATTTAATCTTTTACCTAGTCTTATCTTCTCTTAACTTTACAGAATCTAAATGTTCTGCTATCGAAACTAAAGATACTAAAGTTTTACCTTATGAGCATTTAACTCCTAATCAAAAGAACATCGCTAATGACATCATCCAACGCTTCAAGACAATTTCTTTTGAAGAAAAAGGTATCCTGGGATGCACACACTTAATCACCCACAAGATTGACACTGGTGATTCTCTTCCAATCAAACAAAGATGTTACAGACTGTCTCCTGAAAAACAAAAGGCGTTAATTAATGAAGTTGACAAGATGCTGCGATGGAACGTCATTGAACAATGCGAAAGTCCTTGGTTATCTCCAGTTCTCATCACTCCGAAGAAGAATGGTGAATGGCGTTTCTGCGTAGACAGCAGGAAGCTTAACTCAGTTACACGTCGTGATGCTTATAGTCTGCCACTAATAAGCGAAATTTTGGACAACTTGAGGAATGCCAAATACTTATCAAGCATCGACATTGCGAAAGCATTTTGGGAGATTCCCTTGAAT